CTTCTTCCACCGGGCATGAGGGACTGTTAAGGTATCTGTCTCTCTCTCTCTCCCTCTCTGTCTGTCTCTCTGACTCTCCCTCTCCCTCGCCCTCGCTCTCTCACTCTCTCGCTCTTTTTCTTTCCGGCAAAGTCATGTGTTGATACGAGAGCTCCGGGGTAGAAGCAACCACCCTACGATGGGTCCCAAATACTCGCGTCCAGAGAAAGCCTCAATAATTTGGGGACCCTTAGTAAGCGGTCGTTGGCCGCGCGTGGCCTGGAGCACCGCCAAGAGGTCCAGCAGCTCACGGGGCGTGGGCCCAAGGCCCCAAGCCAGCAAGCTGAGCAGGGATGTAGCAGTGTAGGGCATTTTCGGACTTAGGGTTTAGGTCCCTCAGGATTTATGGTTTATTGCGTTGGGGGTATCGGGTGTTGTCGGTTGAGCAAGTACGCTGGAGAGTACAAGCTGTCGCGGAGTATGGATAGTATGGTAAAAGCTCCTCGAACCGTGAGTGTTATCGCTCTTGCGATTGCTCTGCCACGTAGTATTACTTTGCAATGACTATGACTCGCGACTACAGGCATTTGCAAGCTTCTTCTCTACTAGCTCTTCTATTCATGCCAATCTGCTTAATCATGCATTTCTGGCTACTGCCAATACCATAGCCGGCAAAAGCGATCATCAGGGTCCGTGCGTCGCAGACTGTTGACTATTCCGATGGGCCCTTGAAGCGTTCACGCTTTCCCCGACTCTCAAACTAGCCCCTCTGTAAAGCCCACATCCCCATAGATAGTTCAAGACTTTTAGACTCCTGATGAACGATCCATGGAGGTCCTGACAGGGTATTGGCAGCGTCAGTTCTCGATTTACAAGTGACCTTTAAATCCATCCTGTCGGGCCTGCGCAGCAGCAGCCACATTGCCTCTTCTTGCCGCTCCCGCGCGCAGCAAAGGAGGCAGGTCTCAGGGGCAGGGTTGAAGACACTCGATCACAGCTCGAGAACCCTGAACCAGAATATGGACGCCCTTCTCAAACATGTTTCATTTCATGCGGAGTGCGAGCGACGCTTCTTAAGCGAGATCCTTTCGGGGAGTTATCATGTAGGTCGATGTACACGGAGCAGACCTGACACTAAAGGGGTATGAAGGGCGTGCCTGCAGGGGACAGTCTGTTTGCAAAGCTCCCATCAAACATATTTCGTGCAGCTACATTGTCCTCAAGCCCTCAGCCCCATGGTTGGGCTTTGAGATGCTGAGATTGCAGCAACTTTTGCTTCTTAATCATTGCTGTCTTTATCAGTATCCTAGGCAAAACAGTCCTCATGACTACTTCTTGTGCAAGATTTAAGAACTTGGAGTCTACGGGTGCATTTGGTACATGGGGTTTACGCTTTCTACGACTCATATGAAATTTTGAGCCCGCTCCAAACCCGGGATCCCTTCAGCTTTCAATGTGGTGCAAACACAGATCCGATAGTATGAGCTTGCCAAATGATTCCCCAGGAAAGCCCCATTCAGCAGGGAACAGTCCCAAGCTCCGTCCACCCCAAGCCATCCCAAACTCCAAGGCGAAAGCCTCCCAAGGCTGTCGTGTGAACCAGAGCTCCAAAGCCTTATCTGACACCCATCCGACAACTTCAACTTAACTTAAAACTCCAAAGTGAAACCATAGCTATTCCACTGCCAAGGCTGGCACGATCCAGGACAAGCGATCCTCTTGGAGGCATGTCGACGTTGCAACGACGGCCTGAGCATAATCAAAAGAGGTTGCGTAACCAGCGTTGCGACTTTTCAGGAGGGGGCCCTTCAAACATCTTTGAGAATTGTGTGACTCCGAGCTTCCAGCCTCAGGTTTCGGAGAATCTTTACGAGACCGCTCAACAAGGCTGTCGCGGTGGTGATGCCTGCAACGCCCGCACCGGCTGATGCCCATGATGCTCTCGCCGTGGGCTTGGCTTCTTGCGGACACTGGTGGCTGATGCTCATGGTGCCGTTGCTCTGGGTCGCGAGGCCCCACAGCCGGGGCCAGCTGATGCTTATGATACTCCTGCTGGGCTTGGCTCGCGTTCGACACCAGTGGCTGCTGCATTTTGCTGCCGCTTGTTTCGGGTGGCGATGCCTGCAAGGCCAGGGCCAGCCAGTGCCCGTGATGCTCTCGCTGTGGGCTTCGATTGTGTCGCGCACTGGCGGCTGATGCTCATGATCCTGTTGCGATGGGTCGTGATGCCTGCAAGGCCAGGGCCAGCTGATGCACATGATGCTCCTGGTGAACTTGGCTCCTGCCGGACACTGGACACTGGTGGCTGATGCTTATGATGATGTTGTTTCGGGTGATCAGCATGAGCTCGCCTTGGCCTTACAGGCATCACCATCCGAAACGACATCATCATGAGAATCAGCCACCAGTGTCCGGCAGGAGCCAAGCCAACCAGGAGCATCATGGGCATCAGCTGGCCCTGGCTGCGAGGCCTCACGACCGAGAGCTGCAGCATCATGAGCATCAGCCACAGGTTGCCCGGAAGGAGGGAAACCTACGGAGAGAGCAGCATGGGCATCAGCTGGCCATTGTCGGGCTTGGCCTTGCAGGCATCACCACCTGAATCATCCATCATAAGCATCAGCCACCAGTGTCCAGTGTCCGGCAGGAGCCAAGTCCACCAGGAGCATCATGTGCATCAGCTGGCCCTGGCCTTGCAGGCATCACGACTCAGCGCAACAGGATCA